AATTAAAATTGTAGTCGAAAGAGACTTTTTTTACATTAAAAGACTCTTTCGACTACACTATAAGGATATATATATATATATAAATATATATATATATATATATATATATATATATATATATTATATATATATATATATATATACATATATATACATATATATATATATATATATTTATATATATATATATATATATATATATATATATATATATATATATATATGTATATATATATTTAGGTATATATATATATATATATGTATTCATATTTAGAGTCGTTCTTTGTAATATATATATATATATATATATATATATATATATATATATATATATATATATATATATATATATATATATATATATTTAGATATATATATATTTAAATATATATATATACATATATATATATATATATATATATATATATATATATATATATATATATATATATGTATATATATATGTATATATATATATATTTAAATATATATATATCTAAATATATATATATATATATATATATATATATATATATATGTATATATATATGTATATATATATATATTTAAATATATATATATCTAAATATATATATATATATATATATATATATATATATATCTAAATATATATATATATATTTAAATATATATATATATATATATATATATATATTTATATATATGTATATATATATATATATATATATATATATATAATATATATATATATATATATATATATATATATATATATATATAATATATATATATATATATATATATATATATATATATATATATATATATATATATATATATATATATATGTATATATACATTTCGATTGGGGTATAGGTAGCGATTCTCTACAGTTTTTTGCGTTAGACAAAAACACTATAATTTTTTTGAACTTTACTTGTTTATATATTCTTTTAAGGTTAAGCTTGAAACTTGAGATTTTTTGCATTATTCAAATCTACCTCTTCTCAACCATATATAGGAAGCACTATTTACTACTTTATATACTATTTATATAGCTTTACTTATATATATTTTTTTTCAGTGTTTCAGAAAAAATTTATATTCCAACTTGCTGAAATGAAAAAAATTTTAGTGGATCGAACTGCACTGTTCTCTAATAATCCAGAAGAAGGTTTTAAACAACGTAAAAGTTCAGATAAATTTAATGTTTTGAAAAAAAAATTCGCAGATGGAGATATCCAATACATCACTTTTGTATAAATGAGTTTCATCTTTAAAGTTTATATGTTATATATTATTACAATATTTATTTTAAATTGTCATGAACATTTTCAATATTTCTTATACATTGTTTCTTTTTAGATAAAACAGTTATCATTAATTGGCTATAAAAATCTAGCTGATACAATTAAAAATATTTTGCTCTTGTAAGTAATTAGCAAAAGTTTGAATTTTAACATTTATGATTGACAGTAGAGCATTTATCTTTTTTTTTATATATGTAGACTGCCAACAGACACTATTTTGTCAGAATACAGCATGAATTGTCTAAAGAAGAAAAAAAAGTTTAAAGAGTTGACAAGTCTATGTAACGCTGTCACTGGTATTCTTATTAGCTTATTAATGTGTTTGATTAATTAAAAATTAAAAATGATGTTTTAATTAAAAAAAAAAAATCAATTTTTTTGGCTCTGGAACATGACATGTATTCAAGTGTATGTATGACATATATATTTTATTTTATGAACTTATTGAAACATGTTTTGTTGTTTTTATTAGAAGCTGCTTTAAAGTCAAATAAAAACTTAACCAAAATGAATGCTATCCAACTTGTTGGGAGAGTAATTAGGCATTCTTCTGAGCGAATGAAGAGAACATTGACTAATATGGATTTCGATATAATGTTGGCTTAATTAACTGTTTGTCATTTTTAAGCAATTTTCTTCTATTTATAATGCACAATTGATTATATTCTACAGTACCTATTAGTTTTTAATTTGAAAAATGTAACTTTGTTTGAAAAATTGTTCTTATTTTTTGTAAAGTTATTAATTTATTTAAATATATCAAATTAATCTTTATTTACATTGATTTCTTTTTATAACTACCCTTGCCTAGATTAAGGCAAATCTAAGGTGTGTGTTGTAAATCATTGCATTTTTATATAACTTTTAAAAGAATGTCTTGGTAAAATTCAAACGTCTCTAGGACGTCTGAAAAAGACGTCCTTAAGTCTTTCATATGAGACCAGCCAGAGACGTCTCTAGAACGTCTGCAAAAAACGTCTCTAGGACGTCTTAAAAAAATGTCTTTAGGACGTCTGGAATAGACGTCTTCAAGCCTTTCATTTGAGACCAACTAAGGATGTCTTACGGACGAGACTTAAGACGTCTTACGGACGTCCTTAGGACGTCCAAATGCCCGCTGGGTAGCTGGATTCTTAAACATCTTATCCTAATTATATTAACAGCATTCGTGTCAAGAACGACAAGTCGTTGACAACTGGTTGAAAATATCAGACTCACACAGTGGGTTTGCCAGTCGTTTGATAAATCAATAAACCAATGTTTTAATACAGTTTAACAAGTCATAATAGTATTACTTACTTACTGTTAAAAATATATGATTTTACTAACATAATTACTACATATACATAATATTATTAGCATAAGTAATTTTAAATCTAAAACTAACAATGAAAATCATCTTAAAAATAGTAAACTTTCTCAACTTCACATATTAACATCATTTCAACACTACTTTGACATCTCACGTCGATTTGACGTCAAATCGACGTGAGATGTCAAAGTAGTGTTGACATCTCAGGTCGATTGATGTCAAAGTAGTGTTGACATCTCACGTCGATCGTATTTTTAAGTTTAGAGATGTGCTCTAAACTTAAAAATACGATCAAGTGCTCAAAACTTCAGAACAAACGAGGACTTAAGACTAGAATATATTTTTAGAAGTATACACAATTGTAAACTGTTTATTAAAATAATACATAGCGTTAACTGTATACTGTTTATTAAAATAATGATAGCGTTAGTTAATAATTAAATTATTTTAAATTATTAGTCATTTAACTTATATTTTTAATTTATTCCAAGTTTAAAACCCATTATCTAAGATAAGATAATCCGATTATAGTTCTATTAAACAATTTAGTTATATTAATCTAGCCAATTAATTTCCGGATAAATTTTTTTTTAATTTTCCATACTATTTACGTGTTCTTAATCAAAAATATAAGTACTTCAACTTTTTGTTGAAAAAAAAGCGTATTCTATACAGATGAGAGAAAACAAATTTAAAATAAAAAACAATAAAATTTTACCTTTTATATTATTGATGTAAGAAACCAACAAATACTTTACGAAATATTTTTTCAGACAATGATCTTGATCAGGGGTGTATAATTAGATTTTTAAATTTTCATTGGCCTTAAATAATTTAAAGTACTTTATAATATAAACAAAATAATAAAAATATAATATCTGTGCATTTATTTTAAAATATATCTGTGTAATTATTTTTATTTATAAATTTATTTTATTCAAATAAAACTAAGTTTAATTTGAGTAAAATAAATTTATACAAAATTATTACAGAATTTCGCAAATATGAAAGCACAAAACATTTTAAGATGAATAGATAAATCAATAAAAGTAACATTAACGAAATCGATTCTTAATAACCTTTCTTAAAAACTCTGAAAATTTCAACCCACATTTCCCCCCACCGATGGTGTTGCACATTTAAATAAAAGTGTTTTATTACATCGACACATCTCCTTAGGTTTTCAAGCGTGATTAAATACCAAAGGAGATGTGTTACTCTTTTATAAAAAAGAATTAGACTGATTCAAAAACAAAAAGCCACACAGTCAGGCTGTCACGCACAGTCAGGTTATATTAAATGTAAAAGCATTTCTAATTTAATGTTTATTTTTGGTTTGATTAAAAATACGACATAATGTTGTTACGCATTCTTTGAGTTTTTTGGTTTGTTAAAGTTTAGATTATTTTATCAATGTTATATTTGTTTATCAGTTCATCATTTTTTTCAAGTTTTTGATTAATATTATAAATTATTTTCTTATTCTGCACTTTTGATTATATTTCTACTTTTTTATATGTTTTTAAATTAAATATAAAATTATTTAATAATACACTTAGAAACTTTAAAATTGTTTTTAAAATATTAGATACTAAATCTTGTTACATTATTATTGTATTGTTTTATGAATAATCGCCTAATATCGCATCTCTATGTTATTATGTTAGCTTTTCATCATTTTGAATTACATTATTCAGATCGAAGCAAATTTCCTGTTTGTAGATACCTCCAATTTATTATAATGAGATGGGAACAATGGAATAAGTTATTATTAAATTTAAGTTTTTCCTCTAATTATAACAAATTATAATAATTTTAATAAACTAAAGGTGCAAATTGGATGTGTCGGCAAATCAGAATTATATTAGTCGGGATATTATTATTATAAAATTCTTTGATGTAGTTATATGTTTAAAAACATATTATCCTGTTTACATGCTACGTTAATTTTAACTGAAAAAAGTTAAACAGATGCTTAAAATTAGGAAACACTGTGTTTGTTCACAAGGGTCGTAATGAAATGTTAGGTCCCTTGTTTAAAATATAAAAACTAGAATGACAAATAAAAAAGAACAACAGCTAAATTAAACCTTGATTAATTTTTTGTAAGAAATCGTGATTAAGTTATTGTCACTCTCAAATACGATTGTAAATCTTAAAAGAATGAAATGTTTTTAAATAAGAGTTATTTTTAAAATGGTGTCACGAGGTCTTTAATTAAGTAGCGCTTATTTGGATGAATGCCAATCATTATCATGGCGTTGATAAAAATCTTACTATTTCATAGTATTATGTTTGCATGCAATTTTTAAATAGTCTGTAACGTACATTTGTATTTTTATATTGCATTAAGCTCATACTTTGTCACAGTTTTTGCCACAGCTTTTACTTTATTT